CTCTGGAACTCGATTGAGCCATGTGTTACCTTTAGTCAAATTTAATTTAATACTGAACATCACAGTTATTTTACAACACAATGTACAATCTTTCATAACTAAATGTAATTTAAAGGGTTTTTACCCTAGTATTTTGGTGGCTCAAGCATTGTGACCTAGCATTTTTCGATTTTAAAAACCTGATGATGGACTGTGTGGTCCGAAAACGTTTGTTTTATTGATGTGGCCCTTTTAAGGGTTTTTTAAATAAATATACCCATTTACAAAGACTAACCTCTTTTTGTTATACGTGGTATACAGCCAGCTACAGGAATTTTTCCTTGTGGATTTTGCTTAATTATTCTCTTTACGGGAGAACAGATTGCTTTTGGATTACCTTCAACTCTTAGTTCCTTGGTCTTTTCAATTTTCAAGAGTTCTCGTTATCTCATTATGTCTTTTCTCTACTAGACCTCTTGTTACTTCAATTTCTTTAATCATGTCTTATTTTGCATCTTTCGTTTTTCTTCCATATCTTTTTTTGTCTCTTCGATGTCTGTTTTCATATCTTTTTTTGGACCATTCGAGCTAGTTCTTGAAAACATTGTCATATGATATGACGTTGTAATTTTATATGTGATCATGGTAATTTAAGAACTTTTTAACAAATAGTTTGCATATGGCATATCAGAAATTTGTTTGTTAAGCTATGTTTGCTGAAATAAATGGCTTCGCATTCTCTTGTTGAATTTTGCTAAAATAAATCTTTATTTAAAAATTTTGATTATTAAAATACTTCCGAACAGATGTAAATGTAAATAAAGAGTCAGTGCCAGAACGCATTGCCGGTTTTACTGAAGGGGATTGCGAATTATTGTTTTACCAAATAATATGCCAAGCCTTTTCAGTTTTCAGTAATATTGGGAGAGTTGTTTGACAGACTGGAAATGGACAATGATCTAAACGTAGGTATAATTATTGTGAAAGCTACTCAACAAGAGAATTCAAAGCCATTTCGAACATATAGCTTAACAAACAAATTTGTTATACACTATATGCAAACTGAAAATGTTTTCAAAAACAAGATCGAATGGTATACTAGACTAATGATGTTTTGCCAAACAATTAAAAATATCTTAAATCTTCTGTCTCTTCGATTTTTGTCATATGGTCTTTACTCATTTTTGAGGCCTCTATTTTTGACATGGCTCACGAGCAACTCTGTCTTCCTGATGATGTCTCTCTTCAGCTTCCTTTTTTTCTCTATATCTCGAATTTCTTTTATTGTAGTTTCGCTGGTGTGATCAGTCAAATTCTCGAAAACAACTTTTTTCGATTATTCCCTCTTCTGACACCAGTTGTTACCTTTTTAGGTGGGCTCAGAGATTAAGTGGAGCATAACGTGGTTTAACTAACTTTATTTAATTCCAAAAACTCACTCAATTACGAATAGCACAAAATCAGTATGTGCTTTTATAGAAATACTTGCCACATTACAATATAAACTTGAAAAAATACTTCTTTAAATGTGATTCCATCAAACCATCCTTACCATTATTTCTCTCCATATTATTTCCCATCTATCAAGTAATTGCAGGAAAAACCTCACTTCTCAGTGCAAATAACAACTGAATTCTGGTTTGAAGCATTGTATGTTTTGAATTGTATTTTAAGAATCAATTTGAATCATGCTCAAGATCAAACTAATCTGCGCAAGTCTTCTCAGATGTTGAAATATAGAAACGAAATATACCGACTTGGAATTGATAGGCGAGAGGTTTACCCCTATAAGCAGAGATTAAACCGACTATTTTTTACATTTCTATCGCACCAAACTTTTTTATTCGATTCTATATATTTTTTCAAGTTCAAATGTATTTTTTATTAATTTTTCCGACTTAATTATTTTAATAATTAAGTCGGCTGAAAATTGTTATTAACAAATAACTTAAAACAAAGATAGAAAAAATATTTGTTTCGGCAAGATACGCCTAAAAAATTTACTCGAAGCAGTTCGGGAAATTGTTTTTTGTTATAAGTTATTTGTTTATAACAATTTCCGACCACTTGGAAGAATTTAAAAAATATACATTTTAACTTGAAAAAATATATAGAAACAAATAAAATAGTTTGGTGGGGTAGAAATGCAAAAAAGAATTTAGTCGGTTTATGCTCTGCTTATTGGGGTAAACCCCTAGCCTACCAACTCCAACCAAATGGTTGAGATCTTACACCTGTAACATAAATACATTTTTGAATGTGTTTGTATAGAATCCAATGTCCCGTCTTTTATGTGTTTTTTCAAAGAAGTTTTTGTAACTTTTTAGCTTTTAGATATAAAAATTGTGGATTTTTCCACCAAAGTTTAATCTCGTTTGAGTAGTGATGCTTTTTAAAAACTTGACATACGTTGCTTAGCATGAATAGTGGCATAACTAAAAAATTACTAAAATCGAGTTATATAGGTAAAATATTCCAAAATCCAATATATTTTATCGTGAATAAAGCAGCCAGGCATAGTTTTACATTTAGCCACGTAGCACGCATATGTCGTTATTCCATCACTTGAATTTGTCTCGAAGTTTATTATGTTTAGTTGAGCCAGAGCAGTTGAACAAGTTGTTTAGATTTTTTCGTGAATACTGCAGTGTCGCAAAATGTTTTGTGGTAATTGGAGAATATATATAATAGGTGATTGTTATCTTTAATAGTGGTGTATTTGGAAGTGTCACTGTATTAAAGGTAAAATAACTTAATTTCTAGTATTGTCTTAACTAAAATAGTGGATCAGTTTGTTTTATGTCTGTATGCATGATAAATTTACAATGAAATATAGGAATTTTGTAAATTACTGCCAGATATATTATTGTTGTAAATATTAGATTAAAATCAGAAACTTTTTGATTTGCAAATTAGTAATCTATATTTTATTTTTATCTCTTATCTTTACATGGTAAAAATGTTGGAAAAACTAAGTCAGTTGGAAGATAGTAGGGAAAACGACGATAATAATGCTATACTTACTACATTCACGAGTGAAAGTATGTCAAGGTCTAAAAGAACTGTCTTGCAATTACTTAATACCACTGAGAACAATAATAATTAAGACATTCTTTCAGTTAATGAGGTGTCGCAGTGCTCCGACGATATTATCAAAGATCCAAATTATGTGGTTTCTAGTGATCAAGAAAAAACCAAACCCAAATTCGTGAACTTACTACACAATAGCCCGCAACAAATCAGATCTCGAAGTTCTTCATCGGGGTCATCATCTTCATCGGGTTCATCATTTTCATCTAATAGTTCAAGTTCAAGAATACCTATTACGCTATTACGAAAGGTCGCAAAAGAAAATCAAATCCAATAAAGTGGAAACGTGCAGAAGCAAAACGATTAAGAAATTTGGAGAAATCGTATATGCCTAATTCGAAAACTAAGCAGGAAATGCCAGACAAAAAGTGAAAGCAACCGTGCAAAGAAACCTGCAAATTTAACTGCATAAAAAATATTTCGGAGGAAGACCGTCAATTAGTTTTACTGCGATATGGGGGATCTTCACAGGCAGCGTGAATTTGTAATGAGGCACATAACAAAGATTTTACTGCGATATTCTTACAAAATCCACAAGAGTAATCGCGGTAATAATTTTGCATTTTCGTTGACTGTTGGCCACACCAAAATCAGGGTTTGCAAATTGTTCTTCCGGTCAACGTTGGATATATCTGATCAAGCCATCCGTACTGTCATTGATACATGCTCACAAAATGAAACCGGTGTATTATCTACTGACAAACGAGGCAAACATAAATGTTGTAGATGCATCCATAAGAGAAAGTATACGCAAACATATACGATCGATACCAAAACTTGAGAGCCATTATTGTAGGGCCAGTACGAGTAGAGAATATATATTGACGGAAGCAAATCTATTAAAGTTTACATCAAGACTATGTCGCTGATTGTAAAACGCAGGGGCAACCGTTTGGAAATTATATTATGTATAGTCAGTATATTTAAAAATGAATTTCGTGTAGCTTTCCATCATCCAAAGAAAGACCAGTGTGAGGACTGCGAAGCATTTAAAAATTCGACAGGGGACCTGAGAGAGCAACTAAGACAGAATTTTGAATTACATATTAAAGAAAATGATCTATCCAGAACCGATAAAGAAAACGATAAAAAGAATACCGTACCTCATATCATTGTCGCTGTGTACGATTTACAGGCTACTCTTCCATTCCCACGGGGAGATATATCTGCATTTTACTATGTATCTAAAATAAATGCATACAATTGTACGATTTACATTTTTTTTTAGTGAGTTAATGCCTCGGCAACTATGATCATTGTCTTTGCTAAGAGACGCTAATTGTATCCGAACGTCTGCGGCTGCGGCCCTCTGGTGAGTACCGATCGCACAAGGATAGAAATTATTTTCATTCATTAATTTTTAATAAACGAAAATTTCTCCACCCTGATGAGATTCGAACTCACGACCTTTAGGTTTAAAGGTAGGCGCTCTTACCACTGAGCCACAGAGGGGGTGATTTACATTTTAATGCATGGCATTAAAATTGCATTGGCATTTCGTTGCATGGCACGACATTGAAGGAAAACGTGGAGCAATAGAGATTGGTACATATGTAAATATTTAGAAAATTTAAAACCGAATATGGACGAAAGTTAGATACAACCTTCTACTCGGACAATTGCTGTGGTCAAAATAAAAATCATTCTATCATTGCTTTATATTTATATATATATATATATATATATATATATATTTATATATATATATATATATATATATATATATATATATATATATACATTGTTATGATTGTTTGTATTTTTGTATGCAAAAGTGTTTTTTTTCATTCTTTTATTTAAATATAAAAAGAACCAAACTAAGCCAAAAAAAGTAGATGTCATAAAATAATAACCTAATACGAATATATACATAAGTAGTATGGTAATCATTTCTCCTTGTATAAAAATTAGCTCCTCTTTATAAATAAAACTTCACATTTGTTTTTTTTTATTGTTAAAGTCATGTATACATTATTACATTTGATTATCATTTTAGCATTCACCTTTGGTAAGTTTTTATATTTACACTGTTTTAATATGTACAAGTTACTTTCTTTTCGTCTGCTACCCTACCAATCTATTTCTCTTTGTCTTATTGATCTAAATCGCATACTTTGCACACAGTTTTTTCTATATTTCTGATTCTGTACTGAAGATATCAGATATCTTATCTGGTGTCGTGATCATATCGATCTTTATATGTTTTAAGTTATTTGTCGTAATTCTAAAGTATTTTCCACCTAAGAAGACCGCTTTGCACTTAAATGCTGGTAAGTATATCCCAAAACTGCTATTAGTCCTTTTTCGGTAATGTTTGAAAAATATGTCAACAATACAGATTCTGAATATCGTATTATTTTTCTTTCGTCACAACATGCAATAAATTCAGCGTATGTTTTTTCATACAACACTCTGCTTTTTTCAGGCAGTAAACTTAAAGATATTTCATTTGCAGTTTCTGTCACTTCTGGTGGAGTTAAATTAAACTCTTCGTCAATATCCATCTTTTGATTTTTCAAATACACAGAATTTTAAATAATAAAGTAAATAATGACATACAGTGACATATAGTACTAACAGCGGCTACTTCATTTTAAATTTTTTAGTGGGAATATAAATAGGTATATGTTTGGTTGCCTACACCATAAGTCACTGCCAATCACAGAACGTTTAATTAATTCATACAAGCAATGTATGTTGTGTTGCGAAAATCATTCATTAATAGGTGTCATTCAAGAACGGTTGACTAGTGTCTGTCTTTAGTGTCCTTGGGGGTCATTAATCAATGATTTTGAGGGTGTTAAAATTGATTATTAATGGACGGTAGACGGAAAACGTCATTTTTTGTTTATGAATAATTAAAGGAACTAAAACTGTAAAAAGATAAAAGAGATAAAAAATCCTATTTCCTAAATTGGACCAAAAATTATAATTTATCTTAAAATTTTAGTATTATTCACCATTTATATGCTAAAATGGTACAACCTGAATTACCATGCCTTATGACCTATAGTTTTAATTCCGGTTACACTTTTATTAAGAACTCTTCCTCGCCATCATCATCATGGTGCTATAGTCAATAAAGGGTCTCGTCTTTTTCAAGCTTTCTGCGCCATTCTGTACTGTCTGTTGCCAGTTGGCAATAGCAATCTTCTCAGCATCCTATGTTAACCCGTCTCTCCTCCTCAACTTCCCATTCCCACCGGTTGCGCTATTAGAATTTTTCTTATCATTTTTGATTCCGAGGCCCGGGCTACATGTCCTGCTCACTGCAGACGGTTTTGCTTGATTATACTGGTAAAATCTTAGAATATTTAGAAAATAATAAACTTCTAAAAATCTCTTTAAGTAAACTTAATTATTCTATTTCTGGTAGTTTTTAAGATATAGCCGATACGTATATTTATTTTTAGCGTTTCTAGAGAATATACATTTTTCTACAAAAGAAAATTTATCAAATTATGTTATAATATTTTAAATCGTAGGTTCCACGTATCAAAATGAAATAGAGAATCACCAAAACTGGAATATTATTCCTACAAAAACATGTGGATATTCTGTAAATGATCAACGCAGAATAGTTAACGGCAAACCTGCAAAATTAAACCAGTTCCCTTGGATGGCCCAAATATTTTATAAGAGGAAAAATAATACAGACGCGTTCCTATGTGGTGGGTCATTAATTAATAACCGATACGTTGTAACCGCTGCTCATTGCATAACAGATTTTAAAGAAAAAATGTAAGTAACGAATATATGTAAGCTACAATATGAATTATATACAGACTATACTATACTAACAATCATAAATAGCGAAAATATATATCCACCAATCTATCTTTATAAAAGGCTATGATGACAGGTCACGCTATAAGTCCAGTAAACTAACGACGCCATCTAGAAAAGAAATATGAACTACCATATTTTGTTCTTGAAACGATACGTTTAATTAATAATAATGTATTAATTATATATTAATATAATTAATAATTAATTTTTATAATATACTTAAGGGAGAATTTAATACAAAATAATTTAAACTTTATGTTAGTTTAGATTTAATACCTAGCCCCATCTAGGAAAGAAAATCTGATCTACCAGCTCTGATATTTCATTTATATTTTGTTCTTGAAACGATACGTTTAATTAATAATACTTTTTCTTAGCCTTCTATCGTCCATGTTTGGACATAGGCCTCTCCCAACTCCTTCCATCGGTCTCTATCCTGAACAACATATTTAAAATTTGTTCCGGCTACTCTTTTGATGTCATCAACACGTCTCATCTGTAGTCTTCCTCTTGATCGGTAACTTTCGTAAGGTTTCCAATGTTGTATTGTAGTATTCCAACGTTGGTCTTTTTGTCGAGCAGTGTGGCCCGCGAAGCTCCATGTAAGTTTGGCAATTTTTGTTGTTATGTATTCGACTTTTGTTTTTGATCTTACCCAGTCATTCCTCTTTTTATCTGACAGTCGTATACCTAACATTGTTCTTTCTGTTGTGGCTAGTTTATTCATGTTTGCCTTTCTTTAGGGTCCAGGTTTGACATCCATATGTCATGATAGGAAGGATGCATTGGTTGAACACTTTGCTCCTCAAGTATTGGGGTATTTTGCGGTTCTTAAGTATCCAACTAAGTTTTCTTAACTATCCAAATCCTGCCCATGCTAGTCTTGCTCTTCTAGTAATTTTCGTACTTTGGTTCTCTTTGTCAAGTTTCAGGATTTGGCCTAGGTAGATATATTCCTGGACTTGTTCTATCTCACTGCCATTTATAGTTATACGTCTGGGGTCATCTGTGTTTGTCATTATTTTTGTTTTTTTTCATATTCATTTTTAGGCCGACGTATTGGGAGCTGACTGCTAGTTCCGTCATCATAATTTGCAGTTCCTCGAATGTGCTCGCTATAATCACTATGTCGTCAGCGAATCTGAGGTGGTTTAACTTGTTACCATTAACGTTAATGCCATAGGTTGACCAATTTGTAGTTTTTGAAAATGTCTTCTAGGGCTAGGTTGAAAAGCTTTGACGATATTACGTCTCGTTGTCTCACTCCTCTCTTAATGGGGATGGGATTTGTATTTTCGTCTAGTTGTACTATCCACATATTTTCATATATTATTATGTATTAGTTGTCTATACCTCGAATCTATTCTACAATTATTAATAGCTTGTTATGGCCCACATCACGATACTATCAAACGCCTTTTCATAGTCGACGAAGGCAAGAAATACGGGTAGTTGGTATTCAATTGCCTTCTCTGTCAATGTTCTCATTGTCAGCAGATGTTCTGATGTACTATATCCTTTGCGGAAGCCAGCCTGTTCAACCGGTTGGTAATTGTCCATTTTGTAGGTCAGCCGGTTGTTAATAATTCTCATAAATAATTTGTATATTTGACTGAGCAACGATATAGCTCTATAATTCTGTAGATCACATTTGTCTCCTTTTTTAGGTAAGAGTATTACTAGACTCTCGTTCCAGTCTTTAGGGATCTTGCTGTTATGGAGACATCTATTAAATGGCTCTGTTAGTGTAGGGATTGTTAATGTCTTGCTTATTTTCATGAGCTCGGCAATTATACCGCCGGGTCCTGAAGTTTTATTATTTTTTAGCTCTTTCTATTTCTATTAATAATACAAAAAATATTAACAACATATCCAATATAATCTATCCATATAAAAGACTATGATTGTCTTTTAAAAAAATGAAAGACTATGTCTAAGAAAAAAATTGAGCTACCAACATTTAACACTTCAATCATATTTTGTTCTTGAAAATATACGGTAGATTTATTGCGCTAATTTATTCTACATATTGATACTTAAAATATTGTTAATCATTAATTTTACTGCTTCAGAGTAATTAATTTTTTAGCAAAATTACTGTAAATATAATATAGCATTTTTCACGTAAAAATGCTTGCACGTCATTCAATATTTACGCCGTCAGAACCCCATAGCGTTGCCAAAACATCAGAATAGTTAGTAAGTGAGGAATTTTTAAAATGTCAACTATTTGTCAAACTAAAATATTAACAGTAAATACACTTAGTTTTAGGACTACTGCAACACACTAAAATACATAAGAAAACATTTTAATACAAAATTATATATTCTAAATTTTAAACTTACCTCTTTTAGGGTTATAATAGTAAAAACGTCCCGCCATTATTTCTTGTTCAAAATAATCTATCTTATATGAAAGCTTATCAGACTATTTATTTGTTTTGACATAGCACAATCACAATACACAACAATAATTAGTTTTTAAAGCTATTAATCTAAATTTATTATGTATTTATAAATACAATTTATTAATATATATTATATTATGATCAAATTGTGAAAAAAATCAAAACATAAACAAAATTCTTACTCTAAAAAAGCGGCAACACTTTATACACTTTTGTTACACGCTGAACTGTCAATAAAATTTGAAGTATTCCGGTATCAGTTGCGTACAATTGTCTAATCTATTTAATTAAAATTATTATTTTGTGAAATATTAGCTGAACTGTCAATAAAATTTGAAGTATTGAAGAGTTATTTCATAAAATTTATATTATTAATAATAACAAATGTTTTTGGTTATTTAATCAATATAATTCTAAAATTTCCAATATAATGATGATTACATTTTTCTGATTATTACACCATGTCGACGCCTATGAAAGATCGAGCAGTTCCGTATGGGCTTTGTATTATTAGCTGTGTTAGGAACATTTGAACTCTAAGGTTGACGTTCTGGAAATTTTAAATACAAGTGACGTCACTTTGTATAAATCGTGAGGTGCAAGTGTTTTATTTTGAAAAATGGTATAGGTTACTATAATTGTAAGGTAAGAACAATGACGTATAATATACATTTAGTACGTGGGTCCTAACCTCCCCAAGAATTTTTTTCCAGTCGTCCCTATCCATCGCCTTCCTCCGCCAAGCACGTATTTCCATATTTCTTATATCTTGGTCTATGTTATCTAGGAATCTTGTTCTGGGTCTTCCTCTTCTTATTTGGCCAATAGGTTTATCAAGGAGCGTTTTTCTAGCTGGGTCGGTTTGCTCCATCCGCATTACATTTCCTACCCACCTTAGACGTCCTATCTTAATGTGTTTTACGATATCTGGTTCCTGGTATATTCTATAGAGTTCGAAGTTGTATCGTCTTCTCCAGACACCATTTTCATTTACCGCTCCATAGATTCGCCTTAGTATTTTTCTTTCGAAACATCCTAACATGTTTTCATTGCTTGTTGTTAAAGTCCAGGTTTCTGAACCATATTTTAGGACTGGGCGTATTATTGTTTTGTAGAGTTTTACTTTTGTATTTCTTGATATAACTGTAGATTTAAAAAGAAAGTTAAGCCTAAAATAGCATCTATTAGCCGTGCAAATTCTGCGGTTTATCTCTGCGGTAGTGTCATTTTCAGTATTGACGAGCGTTCCCAGGTATACAAATTCGTTAACTGCTTCGATGACGTCGTTTTCTATAACAAGTGGTCGTAGTATTTGTGGTTGCGTACCTATTTTAATGTATTTAGTTTTATTGGTGTTTATTATTAAACCCATTTTTGTAGCCGCTTCCTTTAGTGCTACGTATTACCCGACAAGCGAGAGCTGTAGGGTTGCGCGCATGGTACAAAGAATAACAGGTATAATACTCCCGAGAGAGAAATTGAGACGAGTTCGCGCATGACGTCACAATGAGAGAGATTTTAAATATTTCCCGTAAGAACGTTAGCAATCAGAACACAATTATTTTTAATTGGCAATAAAAAATCATTTTAATGGATTAATAGAGTTTGTATTGAACTATTCCGGATTTATTAAAATATAGGTGTTTTATTATTTTGATTGAAAAAAATAATAATACAGTGAAAAAAAAATATATCTGTAAAATAAATTTGGGAGTTTTTTTGTGTTTTTCGCTTTTTAATCCTAGAAAGGTAATCTTTATAAATTTTACGAGCTAGCTTTTGATTTAATTGTCTTATTTGGCGCCAGTATCGAGGAGGAAAAAAGTCTTTATCTAAACGTAAACAGAAGAAAATAATTTATCATAAATTATCTGCACTAAAATCGGAAAACAAATTAAACACAAGGTTTTAAGTTACAATTTTTATTAATTTTCTTTTATTTCTTATATTTTCTTTAAGTTTTAGGTTTAATTTCCTAATTCTAAAATACATTCGAGACCGGAAGAAAAGATGTTTGATTTTATAATCACATTGAATGTTCTCCGATAAGTCAATTAGTTGTTTTATATAATTTTTGCCTGATTTTAATTGATGTTCAGATCCATTGAAATTATTAAAAATAATATTTAGTTCATTAATTTTTGCCACCAATTCTTCTGGAGGTTTCCTTAGACCGCCTTCGGATACTTGATCAATCCACGTGTAAGTGGAAGTATCCGTAGTTTCAGGCAGATCTAATTTCTTACATATATACCCACTGACATATTCCAGTGCATCATAATGAAGTTGGTCTAGTTCTTCCATGTCTGCACCCACTTCTTCTTTTTCTGCTTCTCAGGATAAATTTAAAAAATATGTTTCACTTAACAAAACTTCTCCCAAGTTATCAATTGGTCCATCAATGACCTTATCAGCTTCTGTATTGCCAGCTTCAGATAAAGAACCTTCATTTCTCCCTAAAATATAGTTTTTTAACCGGTAGCGAAATTCCACAGCATCGGGATGGTCATGTAATCCACCAACCCTCCTAATATTGCCAAAAAA